AGAGAACAGCCATTTTTCGTATGCAGTTCTGTTATCTACGTTCCGTGGCCGGTACCTCTGCCGCCGCCGTTTTTTGGCAGCGAGACTCGTCGATTGCTGCCAGACGATCGGCCACGCTGCTTTTGTTTTTTGCCTGCGCTTTGGCTACGTTGGCGGTTATTTTTGCCGTTGGACGATGATCTGCCTCTACGCTGTTGTTTATAGACTTTATTTACATCGCTCGGTGCTGCGTTATCTCTGCGTCTTGAGCGGCCGCGAGAGTTTCGAGGTACCTTTTGGCTGCTGAGACGCTGAACTTCAGCCTTAACGATATCCCGGACAGATTCTTCGGTTAACGCGAAATCGGTTTCCATGCCAGGTTGTGTCTTGGCCTTTTCCTCTATATTCAGGGCGTCTTGGAGAGCTTTGGATGTTTTGGTAACCATGCATTGAAAGTAGAAATCATCCACGAATTTATTGGCGTATTTAGTGAATAAATCAGCTTTTTCGGTGGAATTTTCGTCCTTGAGAGGAAACGAAGTTCTCCATCGGCCGATGGTGGCGTTAATATCCTCTTTACAGCGAGCAATGGAGTGTTCAGTCTCAAGGATTTCTTTGCGTAGGTTTTCCAGCGTGGCTTCCAGAAGTTTGAGTTCTGCTTTATGGAGAATATCGTCAAACTTCTTCTGAAGATCCTCTGATTTGCTTTTAGCTTTGACAGGCTTAATCTTCAGACCTTTTGGGACTGTGTTTTGCTGGAATTGCTCTTCCAGATGTTTAATCCTCCTGTGGGATTGAGAGAGGGCGCTCTCAGTGTCCACCAACAAATAAACTTTCTGTTTGAGGATAGACGCAAATGCCGAGTCAAGTTTAACATCTGGAGGGCTCTCAGTAGGTTTGGCCGAGGGAGCGACTTCGACGCTGCGGAGTTCTGCAATTTGCAATTCTCTCGCACTCGTTTGTCGTTCAAGAGAAATTTCTCTACTCTTTTTGTTCAGAGAGAGTGGCTTGTTTTGTTCCTTGAGTCCACTGCGGCCTTGATCTTGGTCTCCCATTGATGTGGCTTCTGCTAGGTAGCTAATACAATTTTTTAACGAAGACTAGTGAGCAGCACAAAGGAAGACTTCTTGTAGTTGTAAGCTTTTTCGATTATTTCCGACGCGTTTCGTCTCTTACTGAGACTTCTTCAGGGAATGAATACAACTAGCAAAGAACAGCATATATAACACGTTGTGTTGCAAAGAACGCCTTAATACATAAGAGACATTCACCAGACTTAGACTGTATCGTCAGTTATAAAATCTACTACTACTTTAGCACATCTATGTAAATAGCATGTTTTTTGGGGGCCATACGATTAGCGCTAATCGTGTGGCCCCCAAACAAATATAGCAACACGCAATAACTTATGTATTAAGGCGTTCCTTGCAACGTCCGTTTACAGCATAGTTAAGTTATTATTCACTTCCACCGGAAGTTTTGCTTACGCACACAACGTGTTATATATGCTGTTCTTTGCTAGTTGTATTAATTCCCTGAAGAAGTCTCAGTAAGAGACGAAACGCGTCGGAAATAAACGAAAAAGCTTACAACTACAAGAAGTCTTCCTTTGTGCTGTTCACTAGTCTTCGTTAAAAAATTAAAAAAAAAAAATTAAAAAATTAAAAAAAAACAAAACAAAACAAAAAAACAGCCCTACATAGCCCTACATAGACCTACATAGCCCTACATAGCCATACATAACCATACATAGCCCTACATAGCCATACATAGCCATACACAGCCATACACAACCATACATGGCCCTACATGGCCATACATACCCATACATAACCATACATAGCCCTACATAGCCCTACACAGCCCAACACAGCCCTACATAGCCCTACATAACCATACAAAGCCCTACATAGCCCTGCATAGCCATACACAGCCATACATAGCCCTACATAGCCCTACATAGCCCTACATAGCCATACACAGCCCTACATAGGCATACATAGCCATACACAGCCATACATAGCCATACATAGCCCTACATAGCCCTATATAGCCCTACATAACCATACATAGCCCTACATAGCCATACATAGCCCTACATAGCCATACATAGCCATACATAGCCATACACAGCCATACACAGCCCTACATAGCCATACATAGCCATACACAGCCCTACATAGGCATACATAGCCCTACATAGCCCTACATAGCCCCATACATAGCCCTACATAACCATACATAGCCCTACATAGCCCTAAATAGCCATACATAGCCATACATAGCCATACATAGCCATACACAGCCATACACAGCCCTACATAGCCCTACGTAGCCCTACATAGCCCTACATAGCCCTACATAGCCATACATAGCCATACATAGCAATAAATAGCCATACACAGCCATACACAGCCCTACATAGCCCTACATAGCCCTACATAGCCCTACATAGCCCTACACAGCCCTACACAGCCCTATATAGCCCTACATAACCATACATAGCCCTACATAGCCATGCATAGCCCTACATCGCCATACATAGCCATACAGAGCCATACACAGCCCTACAAAGCCCTACATAGCGCTACATAACTATACATAGCCCTACATGCCATACATAGCCTACACAGCCATACACTGCCATACATAGCCCTACATAGCCATACATAGCCATACATAGCCATACACAGCCATAAACAGCCATACACAGCCCTACATAGCCCTACATAGCCATACATAGCCATACACAGCCATACACAGCCATACACAGCCATACACAGCCATACATAGCCCTACATAGCCATACATAGCACTACATAGCCATACACAGCCATACATAGCCCACATAGCCATATATAGCCCTACATAGCCATACATAACCATACATAGCCATACATAGCCCTACACAGCCCTACACAGCCCTACATAGCCCTACATAACCATACATAGCCCTACATAGCCCTACATAGCCCTACATAGCCCTACATAGCCATACATAGCCATACACAGCCCTACATAGCCCTACATAGCCATACATAGCCCTAGACGGCCATACATAGCCGTACACAGCCATAGATAGCCCCACATAGTCATACATAGCCACACTTAGCCCTAGTATACATAGCGATACTATAAAAGATAGTAGGTGCATTCTGATTGGGCGAGAGTAATGTTTGCATGAGAGTATGTAAACATCGTTGTGGCGTCAAGATGTTTCACTTTTCGCGCGGTTATCATGCAGGCACGAATTTCAAAAAGTTTTGGAGTTCAAAACTCGAGAAGTTTACTTTATTTACCCATTTTTTTGTCGGCTGAAACTTGGAAAATCCTTACAAAGAAGGTGTGTCAATTTCTCTTTGCTTAAGCAGACATTTTAAGCGAGAAAGCATCTTTTTGGAAAACGAAAACTGATAACACGTGCACAAGACTTCGTAGACAAGATTTTGCGACTGGTTGGAATTTATCTTTTAATCAGTGCCGTACAAAGAGTGTTGCGTTTTTTCTCAGGAAAGTTATTTTATAAAAGCAATGGAAAGCTTATTTCCTGTGTTTGCATAGCCTGATATAAACACTCGAGGCGTTGGGAGAATTCTCGACAGTTATACAAACCCGAGACGAATCGTCTCGGTTTTGAATAACTGTCTCGTATTCTCCCAACCCCTCTTGTGTTTATATGGAACTATGCAAACAGAAAACGTTTTCTGTTGCTTAAATATAGCTATACATAGACATACATAGCCATACATACGCCATTGTCTTGATTTTCAAAGTTGGCGCTTTTTGCTAATAGTGGGCTGTAACATATAACCTAGTAGTAGCGCAACCAATCAGAGCGCAGTATTGATAATAGGCCACTAGTTGCATTTTACAAAAAGCCCTATAATCCCTTCACAACCCTACAAAACCATACATAGCTCTACGTAGTGTTACATAGCTCTACACAACCCTACATATTACTACACAACCCTACATAGCCGAACAGAACTCTACGCAATCCCACAAAGCCCTGCATACCCGGACACAGGGCTACATAGTCCTAAACAGCCCTGCGTTATCATAAGAGACTACATTACGAGGCTTGAACACCAAGAACACCAAATTTAGAAAAAATTACCAGAAACCCTCAGATTTAAGTAAGAATTAAAATATTTGATTGGGATCATGGGCTATTATTTAACTCTGACAAGTACCTTACAACTCGTTTTTGACCTTGGTTTTTTTTTGCTTTTTTTATCTAATAGTTCTTTTTCCAAACGTTTAAAATTATATGTTTTCTTATGTCATAGTAAAAGTAATAACGATTACATAAGGAAAATACAAAGACCTGCGGTTGTACAGTCCTGAAACCACAAACATAATTTACCTGCTCAGGAGCTAGTTAAGCTTGGGACGTATTTATAACTGATTTGGTGGAAATTTTGGCACTTTAACATACCTATTGTCTGTGCAGCCCTAAACAGCTGTACTCGTCAACTCATTTACAGCCAAACAGCCAAGTGCAATCTTTTATTATCATACACGGCCCTGGGAACTTGGACACATTGGGTCGGTTATTTAAACGAAGTCCAACTTTGGCAGCGGTTTAGGAGATCTTTGGACCGACCAAATCTCTTCCTTAGTGGATTCTTTAAAGACAAATGCTTTTCTTGTCCACGTTATATGCACTACTGAAACTGTCACAATAAAGGGTGTTTACATAAAAGCGTTCACCAAACGAAAAATGGCATAAAACGCATTTTCTTAAAACTCTACCTAAACGCCGTTTAAATAACTGGCCCACTGTTTTACATATGGCCACACATAGCGCTGTGTCAATGTATCAATAGGCCAATTTCAAAAATACAACCATACTCTTTGTTTTCCCTCCAAAGTTTTGCACATGCATGGTAACAGTTTCTTGAGAGAACAACAATCACCCCCAAGAAAAGCTGAAAGCAATACTGGTTCAAACGTTTGCAGAGAAAACAAGGAGTATTAAAAAGGCCTATCGAAAAAGGCCCATATTCAATTATACGCTC